AGACTCGCACCCCAGAACCTCAACTCGAACCTCTAATCAATAAACCCGACATCAGCCTGAATGATGATTTGTCTCTCGTTGAGTATATTTGGATGAGAGGTCATTATCCTCCCCTGGGGCACAACATCTACTATTATCAAAGATGTTACTGAAGATGTTACTACTGAGTCACCCGTCAACCTTATCAAGGACACTACTGAAGAAGTATCTGCTACTGAGCATTTATCTACTATTATCAAGGACACTACTGAAGATGTTACTACTGAGTCACCCGTCAACCTTATCAAGGACACTACTGAAGAAGTATCTGCTACTGAGCATTTATCTACTATTATCAAAGATGTTGCTGAAGAAACATACGCTACTGAATCACCCGCCGCTAGTCTTATAAAGGACACTACTGAAGGAACACCAGCCACCGAGTATTTCACCAGTATTGCCAGGGAGGTTACTGAAGAAGTATCTGCTACTGAGTCGTTCACCACAACTGCCAATGATATTGTTGTCAAGAACACGACAACCTCTGCGAATTTGACTAGCGTGTTTAACGATGACCTTGATGCGACCAAGAATTTCTCAGTCGTGCCATTTTATGACAACGAAGGAGCTATCTTGAATGGCGCCGTTAGCAATATGCCAGATGATATCGATGAGGTTGATATCCAAATGAAGTCTGCAGCAGTTGGCAATGATTTGGTGTCGATTCTAATGCAAGATTGGGAGCATATAGCCAATAGCTTTGGAGGAGAAAGCAGTATCGAAACGGGCGATCTTGTCATATCTTATGTGCGGTTTACTGTCGTAATGCTTGTTATGGTTCTGGTGCTTGGGCTCAGTATTTATTTTGGAATCATTAGTCCCATCATGAACAGGCGAGCACGTCTTCGGCGGGCGATTTCGGTGTCATTCGTAGACGTCCAGTCCCCAAAACTTATCCATCCACTGCTACCGCCACCGGCAAAAACTGCAGATGAGAACAGTCCACTAGTGACTTCATCAAATCCATAAGCTGCAACTATCTTTAATAAATCAATCTGCCAGTCTATGAGGCCAGCCAATGTCTTGCCACTTATGATACTATCCTATCCTAACCTATCCTAATTCAACTCAATATTCAGATAGCAGCCGGGTTTATTAAACTTGGCCTATCCATCTTTGCATCTATGTGTATGCTAGTTTCTCATAACATCACAGTTTGTTCCATCTCAATGGCATAACTGAGCTCAACTCTTTCAGCTCTTGTTTCTACTTATACTTGAAGCTTCTAGCCCCAGAAGTAGCTACCATCTTTGCTTTTTCTATGGTAGTCTTACTGGACTTAAACATAACCACACTTAACTCTAACATAGAACAACATCGTAGTGGAATCTATACTCTTCTCCCATCCCACCTAACTATTACAACACTTACTTTAGAAAACACAGATAGTACTAAGACTATCTTAAATCAGTTAGTGATTTAGAGATAAAAACTTAACATTAAACTAGTATATGAGTCGATAACTACTAATCCAATACGTGGTACAGCTCCAATTACTGAAGTATTAGACAGAGTTATAAAACAATAGTAGTTGTAAAACATACTTTCCAATGCACTTGGTTTATTGCTGGATTATGCGCCGATGTACTCGAGCTTAGTTGAGTGGGGTCGACTGTAATCTAGTTTGACTTTCTCTGCGACGCGCGAATCAACTAAACCGAAGAGTTGTTGAAAGGCGCCAGTAGTGGTAGGTGCACTTGCTTTCTTAGTGGCTTCAGATCTAATGGCAGGAGTTGGTTGTTTAATGGCAGTTGTTTGTTCAACTGTTATGGTGTCGTGCTGGCCATTAGTCTCGTTGTCAACTATGGTGACTTGGGTGTCTGTTGAGGTTGTCTCCGGGGAGGCGACTTTAGCCTTCTTAAGAGCCCTTTGTCTTTTGACCAAGAATATAGTGGTCAGAATGATAGCAGTCAAAATAATAAGAATAACTACAACTGTAGCTATAAGTGTAATTATCGGCCCTTTGTTGAGAGAAATAGCGTCCCAAACTTTACCATCAGTGGCCTTGTAAGCCGTCTTGATAGCAGAGAATGCATCTGGGATGCCTTTGTATAAGTTGATAAAATCATTGAATGTGTTTTTCACCCAAGTGAGTGCTCCGGTTTGAGTTGCGTCTGGTTGTGATAAAGCGGCCATATATGATATAGTATTAGAAAAAAAAATGATGTAAATACAGATAAAATTTCCTAATATGGTAATACCATTTTTTTTGTAAAATTCCGAATAAAACCCCAAAAAGCTTTATCTTTGAAATTTTATGATCAAATAAAGGTATATTGTAATTTTATCTGGAAATACGCTAAACTAACTAGAATTAAACTGGGTTTACTGGTTGATTCTTAGATAACGACAAATTTAGGTCAACATTTAATGTATGAATGATTAACGATCTCTAGAAGAGAAATATGATAGTAAGGGTTGGAAGTTTAGGTGGTGGATTTGCTGGGATGAGTTGAAGACTTTCGTTTAATGCATGCGTAGAGAATAACTCCAACAAGGATTCCAGTGTAGATAAGAACGGTTAACCAACTAACGAACAGTCGTGGTGATAAGTTCTGCGAATCAAAAGCTTGGCTCTTAATAAGCAAGGACTTAAGATGCAAATAAACATTGTAGTAGCTCTTAGGCACAAAGGTTATAAGAGTAACAAAGAATGCTGCGCTAGCTTTCATTAGAGCTGTTAAGTCTTTAACAACTTTATCTGTGTATCCGGCTGCTTCGTCTGACGTGTACCCCATAATTTTTCTAACTCCGTGAGCTTGAACTACTACTACTACTCTGGAGTTAATTCAAGCCCCTGGCCATTGAGTAATTGGAGTAGTATTGGGTTAGTTGGTCTTGAACTAATTGGTTAATCCTGTGTTTATTAATTGGGTTGATTGTTTAGTAGTTTTGGTTTATTTCAGATAGTCTATAATAATCATAATGAAAGTAGCACTAACGCAATAAGTAGGTTAGATATGAGTTACAATTGTGTTGAATTAAGTTGAAGTAGTAGGTTTAGGTTTAGGTGGGACAAGAGGTTTGAGTGGAGTTGATGTTATGATAGGTGGAGTTGACTTTTTATCGGGTGCAACTGGGGATGAAGATTCAGTGAAAACAATCACCGTATCTTCTTTAGCGTCCGGTGAATTAGACGCTTGCAGGAAAGATTTATTCGCCTGCAGGTAAATATTCCAAACCGCCGTATCAGTTTGATTGGTCTGCCAACGAACTGTCTTATACCTTATATACAATCGATACAGCCTTTTAAGCAACTGCCAACCCACCGCCCAAAGCAAAAACAGAACAACCATACCGGCCAGCCAATAAATAAGGCAAGCATAAACAAGTCTAATCATTGCATCAATATTCTGCATCCGATTCACTCTAGGCAAAGACGAAATAAGGTAACCTTCCCTCAAATCCCATTTAAATAAATCAAGAAAACGAACTGCATGCCAAGTATCAGTACCCAACATGATATTAAGTCTAAGCTAAAATTTTACGCTTTGGCCACAGATTATTTCCTAAAAAGGAAATCCACAAAGTAGATTTAAAATTTAAATCAATATCTTAATATCCCAAATTCTATCCCACTAACCCACCTCAACCCACCCCACTCAACACTAACCCCACACAACCCCAACTCCATCTCACCAACTCCATCTCAACCCCACCCCAATACTAACTCCACCCCAATCTCAACTCAATCCAATCTTAAACTATCTACTATTTATTTTCAAATATTTTAACAACCCCGGCTAGTTAGTCAGGAGATTTGATTATTTACTTCTCTGTTACAACTAGCCAACATTATTCTCTATCTTTTTGATAGTGATACATTTAGTTTTAATATCTTTCTTATCTATTAGTCCAATCTAATCTAAATACTAACCCAAATATTCACAACCCAATTTCTTTTTTAAAACTATGCTTATTGAAGAGTATCTTAATACCATTGAAACTGCTCCTAGACTAGTTCAGAGTACTTTAACTGCTCTAATGGAGTTAGAACGGTCTATTCAAGAAGAGAAACTTGTTTTAGAACGAGAAACAACTGCCTTATTTACTTCTATTGATAAAGAAGCAGAAGGTTTAGCTATCTACAAAGAAAGCATTGATAAACAACTACAAAGAATCAATCATTGCTATATCAAAATACTTGATACGGATAAACAAAAGCTTCTTCTTTTATCTTCGTTACAAAAAGGTCTAGAAAGTACGTCTGATATAATGAAGGAAGCTTCAGGAGAGTTTAAAGAGAGTATTGCTAGTGATTCTCTTTCTCTAAAACTACAACGTATTCTTAGTCATCTTGATCATACGATTGAGTCGGATCCACTTGAACAGCAACAGTCCTTGCCTTGTTGTACTTGTAATAGACCGGCTACTGGTGAGATAGTTGCTTGTGATAATCCGGGCTGTCCCGTGGGGTGGTACCATTGCACCTGTGCTGGGCTTAAGTCTTTGCCTAAGAAGCGATGGTTATGCTCTATTTGTAGTACAGAAGGTGAATAAACAAGAGTTGCGTTAAGTTAAGTTAAGTTAGTGTTAAGTTAAGTTAGTATTACGTTGGGTTGTGTTATGTTCTATTAAGTTTATGTTCTATTAAGTTGACATTGCGTTAGTGTTATATTTGGTTGGGTTATATTGGTATTCCGTTATATTAAGTTGTATTATGTTAGTGTTCTATTAAGTTAATGTTATACTATGTTAATGTTAGATTAAGTTGTATTAAGTTGATATTGCGTTTGTATTATGTTAGTCATGTGTTATATTAAGATGTAGTGGTACTTGTATTCTGGTACTGGAATAGCACTGGAATGACATTGGAATTTTAGATGGTTTGAGGTGGTAGTTGGTTGGGTTGGACTGGGGTTTAGAGGAGGTGTTGGGTGGTGGTAGTGAACAAATGGGAGTGGGATGGGTTTTGCGATGGTTTTGAGATGATTTTGCTTATCTATAATATGAGTGGGCGGTAGATATAGTGATTAGTTGGCAATTTTTTCATGGTTACTAACTCTGCTCAGATACCAACTACTGAATTGTCATTAACTCAGATTGTGCAACGTATTATTGATATAGAATCAAGTGTTAAAACTGGTGCTAGTGCAATGGTTGATCCTCTTAAGACTACTGTGCAAATCAGACACAGTACACTTGGTTTTTTGAAAGCTGATATTGATGAGACTGTGGCGGAAATAGACCGATTAGTTACTGAGTATGAAGCAGCTACTAAGGCAGATAAGGAGAGAGTTTTGAAAAGAACTATCTATGCTAAAATTGAAATCTTAATTGGAGCTCTTATCTACCATGAACAAAGAAGACAAGATGGATCGGCTAAGAACAAACAAGAACTGGCCCGGACTTTGCCTGAACTAAGTCGAGCTATTATTGAAGCGACTGGGCGAGTACTTAATTTAGCTAAGAGTACAACTACTCATTTTCCTTTGGTTATTCATTTATGTCGGTGTTTAGTAGATTTAAGTCAAGCCTTTGATTTCTTTGTGCCTACTGCTTACTATTTGCTTTACATAATGAACCAGATGACTAAGATAGCCTCTTCTTCGGCTCCTCTACTACCTATTGCTGAAAAGGCTATTAAAGTCCCTGAGAAGGACATTACCTCAACTGTTTATCGTGAGTACGTACTAAATAATGCTATGGACTTACTAGCCACTACTTTAATCCAGTACTCAACTAGTTTAGGCTTTCCCGAATATGCTGGTTTCATTATTGCCGAAATCAAACGGGTCAGAAACTCGCCTAACAAAAGCAGCTCCTGGATTAATGCTAAGATCGAGCAGGTAGCTAAAGCAGCTAAGGAACATTCTGAGCGTATTGTGAGTTTACGAGAATCTTTATCCGTAATGGATGAGGAGGCCGTCAAGCGATTAGAGGCCAAAATCCAACCACTTCACATAGATATTGAATAAACCGGCCATGGTCAATTGAGTTAGTTTTGGATTAGTTTAAGTTTAACTACTTCTGTTGTTATTTAGTTCACAGCCCAATCTTATCTTAACTTAACTTAACTTAATCTTATCTCAACTCAATCTCAACTTAATCTTAACTTAACCCACATTTTATCTCCTTTGTATGTTATTATAACCCAATACCAACTGAATACCAACTGAATACCAACTAATTACTAACTGAATACCAACTAAATACTAACTGAATACCAACTGAATACCAACTAAATACTAACTAAACACTAACTGGATGTCAATTCAAGGCGGGATATATTTGGTGAACGGTCTTCAGTCCATATTACTAAATATTATGATGTAATACGAGACAAAAAGATAGCTGAGGCTAGTATCTGATTGGCCACACTATTTTTTTATGCAGCCTACTCATCTTCTAGAGCCAACTCAGGCTATTGCCAAACTTATTGACCTCTTATTTGCTGAAAAGAAGACTCCTCTGAGTGTTAAACAGCGCCAAGACTTATTAGAGTATTTATTGCCATATGCCCAGATTTCTTCGGTTGTACCTTCAGAGAACGAAATAAGAAGACTAGCTGGACACTTGCCTGAATCCCGACAAGAAGAGATCGACAAATTACTACAAGGAAGTACTCCTGAGACCAGAAAGGCTCTTTACTTCCTTTTTAAGGCTAAAGATAGAATGCAGGTTCAAAAAAGACCGGATGGAGGAGTGATTGATAGTGAAGATAATGCCCATTTAGCAGCTAAAGGTGCCTGTATTGGTGTTTACTTGTCTTGGTTTCGAGATATTGCTGAAGGAAAGTCTAGTCGGATTCAAGCTAAGATAGATAAAGGTTTATTTGAAATCTGCTATCTAATCTACAAGTCTGGAGAGGCTTATCTTTATCTCTCCAAAAGCATTACTCAAGAAGAAGAACCACGTACTAAAGCTTATGCCATAGTTATAAAACAACACTTAGCCCAGTATAGGAAAGAAATCTATGAAGTTCCTTCTAAAGACTTGTTTGACTTCTATATTCAGCACTCCTTACGTATGAAACATATTGCCCGACTTTGTCACGTCTCACAAGAGTTCCTTTCTTTTGCCGAGGAGAGTGATAGTTCTGGTTGTGTGCTGGAATTAGTGGCTTCACTAAAGAAATCACCTTGGACGGACGAACTCGCTACTGCTATTTTAACTGAGTATCGTATGCCTCTTTCTGAGGCAATAGTTCAATGGATTAGAAATGGAGTAGTTAGTGGTACTTTTATTCGTGAGATTGGTGAAGGTGAGTATCGGACTTCAGTCTTACTAGAAGAAGAGATTCCAGAAGATCTACCTTTAACTACGGCTAAAGAGATATTGTATATGGGTAAAACTAGTTCTTTATTAGCAGTACTTAATCCGGAGGAACATAAGAGAGTTCTTAATGACTTGAGTTTATTATCGGGTGGAATATTCAATGTAGAAGGAGTGAGTCAGATTTATCAACGATTTCAAAACCAAATTCAAACCCAGTTCTTTGGGGAGTTTAAAATTATGGCTCATCTGCAGTTGATTCGAGATGTTTTCTTTCTGTTTCGTGGTGATTTTGGTTTGGACTTAATGATGGCTTTGGCGGAAGCTTCTTCTTCTAATGAAGTTTCGGTGGCGGTAGATGAGTCATTAGAACGGTGTTTTGGAAATGGTCCAGAATCTTTTGTGGATGTAGTGGGTGAGAGTACGTCTTTATCTCTTATTTACAAACCTGTCTTTCCTTATAGTGTAGTTACTTCTTCCTTGGCTCCGTACTTAACTGAGGCTTTTGAGTACTTTTGGGCCTTACGCTTAGCTATTGCCAATATCCAGAAGTTACATCAACGGTATCCTAGTCCACAAACCTTTGTATTAGCCTTGAAAGTATCGGAAATTGAGTATCTCTTCTTTGAACAAACTGTGCAGCCTTTGTGGAACTTTCAGTCTCTCTCACCAGAGACACTTTTTACTCCGGAGTCGCTGACCAAATGGGTTGAACGAGTTGCCTACCACTTAATTTCTACTTGTAAGGAAGCCTGTACTTTATCTCTCTTGCAGCTGATCATTGCTCAAACCCAGCCGTCTGTGCAGCCGCCAGCTAAAGATACTTTAAATACCACCTTATCTCTACTTCAAAAAATCACTATGGCCCAATGAATAAATCAGTCTGCATTCTTATATCTTGCATTGTATCTATCCTTATTCTAGTCCTAATCCAACCCAATACTAACACTAACTCAATACTAACTTTACATTCTAATCAAACCATAAAACCAACCGAATACTAACACAAACCCAATTCAATCCAATTCAATTCTAATTCTAATTCTAATTCTAATTCTAACTCAAATGGTAAGGATAGGGTTTATTTTAAGAAAACACAAAGATGCTTAGATAGTCTAGATAGACTAAACAATAGAAGAAACATCTAACAATTCACTCAACATCGCAACACAAAGCAGAACGACCAGCAGCCAACATTTATGAACTTATGGCATCCAGCTTGCTATTCATTAGTTTTGAATTAAGAAGGATCCTAGAATGTGCAGATATCAGATCACCATGCATACTCTCTACATAATTGTCATCCTGAAGTTTTAACTCATCATTCAGAGTCTTTGAATCTTTACTATCCGGAGACTCCGGCTTATCAGACTGGGCTAGAGAGTCTTCGTTTTGACGTAGCAAAAGAGTTCGGAAAGATTCACCGAATGGTGGAGTTCTCCAAATCAATAGAGTGAAGAAGCAATCGGCTGGAGGTGCCTTACAAGATTGTTGGTACACTTTTGGGTCTAGGCTCGTTATAAACCTATTATAGACAGCATCACTTAAACAAAGGTTTCTGAATACTAGATGCACTGGCTGGCTAGCAATCATATAAGTGAAATTCATTATGTTTGTTAGGAATGGGATTATGTCATCATCAAAACACTGGTAGATATGAACTTGGATTACAAGGCGCGGTAAATTCCAATCTTTTAGATTGGTCTGGTTGGTTTCAGGGTTTGCAGACGTCATTATAACCCTAGTCATTTCTGTAATTTGATCAATGAGGGTTTGAACATCCGGATCTTGTTGATAGGTTACATCTATACGTCCCCGGGTCAGCTTGTCTAGGAAACCACGGAGGCTCACGGAACGGCGGGCCGTTTCAAGGCTTTTATCGTCACATTGAATGGTGGAGAGTTCTTGGTAGGTCCAGAACATTATCTTCAAGAGTTCTAACAAGCTATAGTCCGGCTCATCATTATCATTCGCTTTATCAACGATTTGAGGCGTGTAGTATAGTTGAAAAAGCAACGGACTAAGAGATTCGATTGGCCCGATCGGCATGGACAGGATAGCTCGGTCTATACGAAAGCGTAGTTGTAGTTGAATGGGCGCTTCATTGGGAGTGTTGGCACTAGTTGTTGAATCTAGCGTAGTTGTTTGGCCAATAGGACTATCGCTGGCGGCTAAGCCATTGTTACTAGGGTTAGTTGAACACTCGGGATTGCTAGGGGAAGGATTGCTGTCATTAATATCATTGCTGCTGGGCACTGGGGGCTTGACAGGAAAGACGAGCTTTAGTCTGTCAAGGAACGAATTACAGTCATTGAAAACAAAGCCGTGATCCAGATCGAGTACGAGCAGCTGGGCAGGATCCAAGGTTTGGGCAAGGTAGAGGATTAGGTTGTCAGAACAATTGACTAGTTCAATGGAACCAAGCTTGTTGAGATTTTGGTTGGGAGTCAAG